AGACTTTTAAATATCTATTATTTTCACTGTGTAAAGAGTACAAAAGTGATATAGCCCTAGTCAGATAAATTTCTTGAAGCTTTCTAAGATGGAAAAACTGCTTTATCCTCTTTGAAAATTAAGAAAAGGAATGATTAAAGTACTTAACTATAGCAACAGTTATGACTAGCATAACATAATGAGTAAAAGAGACACTGTCCGCCATGTGAAACAGAGAATGCTTTTAAAAGTACTGCTCATGGGGCCAGCCCCATGGCTTAGCAGTTAAGTGCGCGCACTCTGCTACTGGCAGCCCGGGTTCGGATCCTGGGCGCACACCGACGCACCGCTTGTCCGGCCATGCTGAGGTGGCGTCCCACATACAGCAACTAAGAAGGATGTGCAGCTGTGACATTACAACTATCTACTGGGGCTTTGGGGAGAAAAGGGGGAAAAAAAGGAGGAGAATTGGCAATAGATGTTAGCTCAGGGCTGATCTTCCTCACAAAAAAAAAAGTACTGCTCATTATCTCCAGCTGTATTTTCATGATATATATATATATAAATGAATATATATATAAATGAATGATAATATTTCTGATTTGGCCAAGATCAAGAGGCTAGGTGACCTATTCTTAATACTTAGTCAATCTGTCTTTTACCATATATATTATTTTATTAAGTAGCCTGCGTAATTATGTGTTTGTACTTGCAGCTTGTGGTGTCAGTTCCTAGAATCAGAGCATTTAAAGTTGGAAGAGATCTTTTAATCCATCTCCCTTGTTTTTACAGATGAGGAAACTGGAAAACAAAAAGTTTAATTTGTCCAACGACCACTTGATGACAGATCTCATTTTCCATCAAGTGTTAGGCTCCCTTTCCCAATTACTTATAGCAGCATCCTTTGTTTCTCCCAAGATTGGGTGAATAATACTACAGAATCACTTTGCTTTTTATGTTTCACATTAAGAGGTAGAATTCTAACGACCATTATAGCAAAATGGTGTTTATCTTTGTGAATTGGTTTTTAAAATTTTGTTTCTTTTAGACATGCCACTATTTTTTGTGTGTGTGTGTGAGGAAGATCAGCCTTGAGCTAACATCCATGCCAATCCTCCTCTTTTTTTGCTGAGGAAGACCAGGTCTGAGCTAACATCCGTGCCCATCTTCCTCCACTTTATATGGGACGCCGCCACAGCATGGCCTGACAAGCGGTGGATCCGTGTGCGCCCAGAATCCAAACCGGAGCCGCCAGCAGTGGAGCGCGCGCACTTAACCGCTACGCCACAGGGCTGGCCTGGAGGCCTGCCACTATTTTGGAATTTTTTTATAAATTCATGGTTTCCAAAGGATTATGTTAATTTTTAGGGATAAATCATGAAAATCCCCAAATCTTAAAGATCAATCCCAAATAAATTTTAAAATTCAGAATTACTGGAAGAACAAGAATCACACTACTGTCAAGCTAATATTAGATTTTCAGTGATTTCTAAGATCCATTCTGTTTCTAATGTTCCAGGCCTAATATTTATACAACATTTTCTGAGTTCATATGTACCTGATCTTTTTCTTATTTTATAGTATTATTTAGTCTTTTTTGTTGTTGTTCTTGCATTCTTGAAAAGCATTTATTTGTGTAATGAATTAGGAATCTCCTTTCTTCAAACAACTTCGGGAACCCACATATTGGCTCTATTTACTGATCATTTATCTGGATACTGCATTGCTGGCTGTACTGCTCCTGGGTTAATAGAAAAATTGAAGATTGTACACGTGATACCATAGCATCTCTTCTCTCCCCACCTGAAGATATGAACGAAAAAGAGTGAAAGATTTCAAAGTCCAAAATGAATGCACCCACTTTAAATGCTATTTAACATGGTCAGGAGGCTGCTGTTTCATTTTAGTACCTTGGCAGTGAAAACCAGAAGAATAGTATCTGTTTTAGTTGAAGTGAGTTTCTCATCTGAAACAAATTGTTCTTCCTTAAATAATTCTCTCCTGCACTTTGAAAAAGGCCTGAATTTTCTGATGAAAGACAGTAATTGTACTGTTGCCCAAGTGGTTGATACCTACTCAAGCTAAGAGTTATAAAAATTAAGAACGCTGTCCCCTCCTCTGAAAAAGGATTGGTAGTCTGCCTGAATGAAATGATAATAAAACACTGACAGTTTACATGGAGATCCTATCCTTTGGAAAATCACACTTTGTTTTAAGTAGAAAGAATATTATCTAGTTGGGGAGGGAAGAAGGATGCAAATCACCTTCCTGTTTTGAATATGTCTTTGTAGCTGTAATTACTTATGTTAGCTAATGGGTTTTGTTCCTTTATTATAATATAGTCATAAATATTTTATTTTCCGAAACAAAAAGTTGGAATCATGCCCTTTACATTAAATGTCAGAAAAAATTCAGTAGCTCTGATGTGTTTTAGAGTAAACAAAAACAAAAGAGAGATCTGTGCCTTAGATGGCTTTAATCAGATGGCAGGGTGAGACCATATGGATGACATAGTTAGATGGCAGAGTGAAACCATATGGACGACAGCGTAGGTGTGAAAAACGTGGCTTGCGATAAAGTCTTTTAAAAATGGTTGCGTATACTCTTTCTATAAAGGAAGTATTATGATGATAAGTTTGTGTTTTATCTTCATTCTCATGAAAATGCTGACTTAGGGGAGTAGATAGAGAAAAGTTTATGGATTTCTGCTCTTATTTAGCTTGACTCAGTACTGTCCTCAAATGGATTTATTTACTTACTGTTATTAAGATTAGATTTTTTGCTTTCACATGCCATTTTCTTGCAGACCAAAACTATGGGCAACATTTAGGATACGTAAACTGTTTTGTTGTTGATGTTGCTTTCTGTTACTTTTGATGTCTTTCTGAAATATTTTAGTTTAAAAGATCACAGATTATAAGTATGCAACTCAGTGAATTATCACGTTATAATAAAGGTTATTTGATAATTTTTAAAAATAGTTATTACTGTTTGGAAATGTAGGGTAAACCGTTTAGGCAATATTTTAACAAAAATAGTAATCTCGTAAAAAGTATCTGGGATTTAAAAAATTTTTGTCAACAGGTATCTCAAAATCATGATTGAAATATAGTTTTTGGTTCATAGTTTCAAAATGTTATCCATGACTTCTGGTACTAAAAATTTTTTAATTGTACAAGTAATCCTGAGTCCATGCTCACGGGAAGAAAAATATTAATATTAAAATACTAAAGTTTGTAAAAAGTGAAAGTCATCATTCTATACGGTTCTACCATATCTCCCTCTTCTCGGAGCTATCACTTATAGTTTACTTCCCACACCTTTTTCCATGCATACACCTTTACAAGAATTTGTTTTACTTGTTTTTAACATAAATGGGGTTCTATTTTACAGTATGTTCTGTGACTCACAATTTCACTCTGTCTTGGGAAGCTTTATATGTCATTACATTATAGACAGACTTCATTCTTTTTCATTGTTATAATTTCTTGAATGGTCCTCCTAATGATGGATACTTGTTTCCGGTTTTTTGCTGTTGTAAAGAAATTCTGCAGTGAATATCCTTGAACATATATCTTTGTGAACTAGTCAATAGTAAGAGTTTCTTATTGACTAGTAGTTTCCCTGTATTCTGGATGTTATTGTATTGATTATATGTGGCAGATATTTTCTCCCTATGTTATTGTCTTGGTGGCTTTTGTCATGAATGTTTTAAATAATTATGTAGTCAAGTCTGTGATCTTTTCCTTTGTCATCTGTTTTGTGGATTCTGTATTTCTAAATTATTTATATTCATTTCCACAGAGATATTTTCATTTCCATTTTTAACTGTCACTTGTAAAGCACTTTCTTTTTATAGAACCCTGTGAATCATGGCAAAATGTATTAGTATGTGATACATTCTGATGGCATGTAATAATCACATAAGCGTTAGTGACAATTTTGATTATCAATTTCAGAGTTAAAAAATAAATGTAATTCTGGAAGAGCATTGAGGTTTTTGTGTTATTTATGGAATCACTATAGGTAGTCCTCACTATTAATAAATTCATTTTTGACAGGTAATATGCTAGGCACTGAATGATAACAGTGTAGTACAAAAGGAAGATGTATTACCTTTTATTGTGAATCTTTTAGATACGATCGCTTCCCCGGTTACTGAAATTTCTCTAACCTCATGTAGCTGCTGCTGCCAGGAATTGCTCTCCACTTTTGCTGCCATCCAGTGCAGATTACCCAACAGGTATACTAAGCCATTAGCAAAGCAGAGTCCAAAAGTAAAAAAGATCAGTCTTGATTAACTTATCTAGAATTTTGCAATTAAGCATTTTTTAAGATGTTTTATTTCATGTGTGTGCGTGTGTGTAGCGTTGCATACTATCCGTAGGGTAAGGAGTGAGAGCACTGACATTTTCATTGTTTGGGGCCTCTAATTTGGCTCTGTGGCTATTTATCGTACCTTTCTACCTTGATACCCCACAACTTGGGCTCTTCAGACTTGGGCTGATTTTGTCCTACCACCAGTAATTTCCTCTGGAAGTAGCTTATAATTTTTCTGCTTCTTCCCTATAATAGGAGGGAATACGCTTCTAGGAGGTCCCATGAAGCCGGTATCTCATAGACCTGTCATCAGCTCACTTCTACTCTCTGCCTTCTCTCCACACCTGATTGTTAACAGTTTGAAAAACTTTTAACTTTGCTGCCACCCCTCTGCCCTTGTTGGTAGGGGAGATTCACAGAGGAGAGGACTCCCTTCCTACTTCTAGATGGAATAATATCCCATTGGGAAGAAATGGCAAGGGAAAAGTGTTTTTCTTTTTTGAAGGGACTAGAACTTGCACAGCTCAGCAAATTTGGACAAGTTCGACAATAATTCAGCCTCCTTACATTTTAACTAGATTTCTGGGTGCATTTGCTGACCTAACCACCCCGTATACCTATTTCTGACTTAAAATTTGCCTTTAGAGTCACAAAAGCACAAAGCACTGTAGTGCCTGTAACACTCTCCCATGTTATTGTAGGTGACTAAATGACCATGGAATCTGGAGCCGAGAACCAGCAGAGTGGAGATGCAGCCGTAACAGAAGCTGAAAACCAGCAAATGACAGTTCAAGCCCAGCCACAGATTGCCACATTAGCCCAGGTATAAAATACGTGGAGAGATCCCAAGTTGTGTCTCCCACGAGGAGTATGTTTCAGACAAGAGAATTTAGTTTTTATCACAGAGATATACATAGAATGAGCAGAGACATTCTTAGAATATCAAAATTCCTGTTTACTTGGTGTTAACCCAATTTTAGAAATGATATTATTAATTTGGTAACATAACAGAAAAATGTATTGTTGAACACTAATAAATTGTTTGTAGTGACATGATTCAGAAATAATTACATTGTAACTGATGGGTGGCTTGTATCTCTTAGGAAAGACAACCTGATATGATAACTGTTTTTCATATCACACAAATTTATTTTGGGGCATGGGAGGGATGATCTGAAAGGGTGTTGATGTATGCTTAAACTAAAAAATAGGATAAGCAAATAAATGGACACACAAGTAAATTTTGAAGATGGTGTAGTTTTTGTTTCCTGTATATTTTAAATATAATTCACAATTCTTTCATTTTGTCTTTGTCTTAAACATTCTATCTCTAAGGTTATATTCTCTCATCCTTATTTTTTGTTCTTATGTATTTTTCCTCAAATATTTTATTTTATCAACAGCTATTTGCATATATATGAATGAGAAATGTGGTTAATATAAAAACCAAATAGCAAACATAAATCTGCTAGGTAAGGGAGTGTGATATTGCCTCTTGCAGATGAAGGCTCCCAGGAGAAAATAATCCTAGTAGAGGCTCTGAGATGTTGAGCTTCAGCTTCCCCAAGAGTGTAAAAGCTCTCCTAGGGGAGTCGCAAGGATGGGTCTTGGGAAACAGGGCTGATCACAGATGGTTACCACTGCGCTAAAATGTGGGCCAAATACTGGACGTCAAGCAAGAATGTGGTCAGAAGGAGTGGGCTGCTTTGTGTTTTCTCCTGAGATCACCAGGGCCCACTTCAGCCCTCAGGAGCAAGGCAAAGCGGAATACATTTGGGGATGAAGTAAATGTACTCAGATGAGGCGATTGCAGGAGCGAAGGGGAGAGAGCTAGGACTTCATCAGTACCTGGTCAAGGCAAGCATGCACAGATAAGAGTCTGGGCTCATCCAAGCATTCGGCACGCTGTGAAAAGAAGATACAGTGCCAGCAGGGATCTTCGTGATGACAGCCCTCAACATGTCTGTCTCTTGGGTCATACTATCCTGTCTGGTCTGCTTGTCTTCTAAGTGTGTTATACAAGGTCATCCTGGAGATCCCTTCCCCTACAGTCTTGTGTTCTTGATATAGTATATCATGTTTTCCAGTGGGTTCTTGGGCAAGTTTGACTTGGTAAAGAAATCATTTTTCTTTCAAATTTCGAAGGCAGTGGTCCACAGTCAACTTCTGGTCTTGGTGTTTGAAAAGACTAAATGTTTCTTATTTTGTGTCTCTGGTATCTTATAAAAATCTTCTCTCTGTTCACAGTGCTTCACTATTTCATTATCAGAGCCTTGGTTTGGATCAGTTTTCATCCATTGTGCTTTGTGTTCAGTAGGCTCTTTTATAGTGGAAAGTCATGTCTTTGGTTCTGGGCAATTTCTTTAAATTATTTGGTTGATGATTTTTTTCCTAACTTATTTCTCTTTTCTCTCTAGAATCCTTGTCATCCGGATGTTATACCTATGGGACTGTTTCTCTAATTTTCTCATCTTTTGTGTCTGTCTTTTTGCTCTGCTCTCTGGATGATTTCTTCAACTTCACATTCCAACCCATCTGTTGAATTTTTTATTTTGCTTTCATGTTTTCAAGAGTTCCTTTTGTTCTCTGAATAGTCCTTTTTGTGTTTATAGCATCCTGTTTATTGTTTCACAAAGGCAATATTTTATCTCTGGAAATATTAATTAGATTTTGTTTTGTTTTAAGTTTTCTTCTCCTCCCATAGATTTTCCTCTGTATAGCTTTTTCCCCTTCCATTTGTTTTGGTCTCTATCTTTCATATTAGAATCTTTCCTCAAATGTTTGAAAATTTGTGGTTTGTCTGCTCAGTTCTAAAAGTAGGGGACCAAAAAGCTGTATTGGAAGCCCTGTGGATATGTTTGAGGCCTGGTATCTGTGAGTTGTGAGCTTCGCTGGAGGTGGCATTCCCAATGTCAGTATCATTTGAGTCTTTCCTCTTCCCCTTGGCATTGGTCAGATTCCCCAGAGAAAGCTTTACTAATCCCCTGCATATAGGGTAAAGGCCTGGGAGCCAAGTGAGAGAAGAGAACTGGGGTTTAGTACCCCACCTTCAGCAATGCCTGGTGTTAGGCAGTCAGGAGACCCTCTATCTAGAAGGTAGACCTCCATTTTTCTGTCAGTGTAGGGTCGATTAGTCGTTCTTCCACAGGGAGTTGAGGGAGGGGATCCAGATGCTTCTAAAAGAGCCTTCAACTAGCCTTCCTTATTTTCAGCCTCTACTTTCACTCTATCCTCCAGGGTGCCTTAGGTCCTAAGCCTGTCAGGATTTTTGTGGTGCAGTCAGACTTTCCCTGCCTCCACCTCATGAGTTGGCCTTCTGAGGTCTTACAAGGTCATTACCATTCATCCATCTGCTTTCTAGCCTCCAAAACTCTTACTATTATCTCTTTTCCCATCTCCTGTGCTCATGTGATTATGTCTCTAAAAACAAAATCAATTTCATGAAGTTTAATTGGAGATTCGGGAAGGAGCTAAATTATATGCACATGTTCAATTGGTCATTCTTATCAGGCAGTCCTCTAGCACTTAAGACTTTTAAAAGCAGAATGACATGATATTTGAGTTTTAGGAAAGCTAATATCTGTTCCCATTTGTATAGTTTTTTGTTCTTTTTATTCCTAATTGCGGAGTTTTGTCACTTGCTCATCCAAGTCCTTGACACATACCTCAGACGGTTTTCACATAATTTTCTCTCATAATTCTGATAGCTGTTATTTTTTTACTGTCAGTCTTTAATATTAGAAAAATGCAATAAAATTGTCAAATCCAAGATCATTGTGATTTGATCAATGAACAAGAAAAAACAAATTCAGCCTAACTAGTAAAGGAAGAAAATCAATCTGAAACAATAATGAGACACCTTATTTTACTTTTGAAATTTACAGAGATTTTTTTAGGTGGAAAAAAAACCAATGTTGGTTTTAACTATGAGAATGTGAATTTTTATGGATTTAACTAAAGAGTTGGGTAAAAGGATGATCACTGTAGCTTTCTTGTAATAGGCACATTTGAAAACCTGAATATCCAATAATAAGGAATTTATTAAACAAATTATGTAATTTTTACTATTATGCAACCGTTAAAACCATTAAAGAAGACTATTAATGGTGTGATGGATTCAAAAGGTAAAATAGATTCCATGACAGTGTATTATAAAAATTGATTGTATATATGCTCCCTTAAAAACACCCAGATCTACAGCAAAAATATTAACAGGGGTTAGCTCTGAGTGATAGGAATGTAAGTGGTTTTTATTTTATTTTTGTGTATCTGTATTTTATAAACTTAGAATAAGAGGAGCCATTATGTAGAAGGATCAGGGTAGAAAAGGAGTTACTCACTATGTTGGCTTGTTATATTTACCCTAGAAAATACTCAGAGAAGAGGATATAATAATTGCTTCAAATATTAGAAGAGCTTTTATATGGAATTGAGATGAGGTACTCTGAATAACTTAAGGTTGTGCTTCTCAAACTTCAGTGTGGGGGAAAGCGTCCTTGGGTCCATCAGAGATTCTGACTTTATGAACAGGCACCCCGTGTAACTCTAATGGTAGAATGGAGTGGTGGTAGTCCATGGACCACATTTTGAGAACAAGGTAAAACTAAGCAAGATTTATAGTGACCAAAGAGAAAGTTATTAATAAGGAAGGACTTCCTAATGTCCGAACATGGGAGTTCATGGTTTTAACCTCTACCTTCAATAGAGATCTTTCCCCCAAGCTTCACAGTCAAATATTTGACTGCCTGCTAAACTTCTCTGCACATTCAGGTGTCAGGTCAATTCCATCATCTTCCTCCACTACCCCAACTACTCAAAAACTTCTCCTTACTCGCGTTCTCTGTTTCACTTGATGGCATAGTCTACCCTGTCTCACCCGAACATGAAATATGTGAGTCATCTTTAATTCCTCTTGCCTCCTTCAACCAATCATTCATAAAGCCCTTTCTCGTCTGCCTCCTGAATTTTCATTAAATCACTTCTCTCATTCCCATCTCTACCACAGCTAGTGCCTATTTCTGGCCTTTATCATCTTACCTTAACTATTATATAGGCTTTCTCAGTTGGCCTCCTCACCTTCACTTTTTTCTTCTTTTGAAATAAATGTTTCGCACTGCCACTGAAGTGAACTATCTAAAATGCAAACCTCATCACGATATTCAGGAATTCAGAAGCCCTTCAGAGCCTTTTCTCATCTCCTCAGGATAAAATGCAAGTTCTTTAATGTGACAGAGAAGGTTTGTCATGACTAGCCCGTCTAGCCATTGCCTACCTCTCTTGCTTCATCTCTCCTCACTTCCTACATATGCTCCAGTGGTACTGATGGCTGGTCATCCCTCTCTGCCATGTACAGACCATGCTATTTCTCTTTGCTTTTGCCAGTGCTGCCCTTTCTGCCTGAAGTTCTGTGCCTCTCCCCTGCAATAATAACATGCCTAACTTGTATTGTTTTTCAAATTCACATTCTTCCGTGGTAGCCTCCCCTCATCTTGGATGGAGTGGGCTAGCTCTCCTCAGCGTGTCCATTTTTCTCTTCACAAACTTCATCACTTCACTGAATTATATTTATTCGTGTTCTTTTCCCCATTCCTTCACATATGTACCCCAATAATTTCCTTAAGGGCAAAAACCTATGTCTTTCTCATTTTTGTAGTTTCAGTTCTCACATTGTTCCTGGCACATAGGTTCCCAATAACTGTTTGCCAAAGGAGCAAATAAAATTCCTACTCCCGAGTGTGTTCAAGCATAGGAACAATAAGTACCATCAGGTAGACAAGTAGAACCTAAGAGCCCTCTTAACCTGGATATTGACTCAGTAAAATAGTGCCTTCTTTGTTCCTCAGGAGAAAATTGATGTCTTATATTCTCTCAACTCTGCTTTTTTATTCTTTGAAGAGGAAAATAAATCCTTAAAATATCAGCTATTACCAGTTTAGTGATTTTAGGGGGGTGGGGGGGATAGAAATTTTCAGTTATAATACCTGTTAATACATTTTCATTAATGAAAGGCATACTTGTAATTAGTGTAAAAGAGAAAACTATGCTGTATATTGTAAGATCTGTTTGTTCTAGATTAATAACTAAGTTTTGCACCAGTTTGAGAGCAGTTATATTTTAGAGCATGGTTTATTTAATGCATGACATTCTGAAGACCTTTATGTTTCTTCAAGGCTAGCATATCTCTTGACCTTGGGTAAGTTACTTAATCTCTTCTCGCACTTGCTATTTCTGTCTCTGAAATGGAGATAGTGCTTATTACCCAGTCCTGATTTCTTCAAAGAGCAGAGTGAGACCCTGGGTATGAAGGCAGGTGAGAAAATGTAGAGCACCGTACATGTGACATGACAGTTAGTGTTCCGAGGAAGTCTGTGTATTTATTGTGATTACATTAAAGTAGCTTTTGGTTTTTGTCATTTGGGAGGAGTTGAAAAATAGGGGGGGGGGGGCATTTGTAGTCTTTTTTAAAGAAGAATATTAAATTTACTCATTAGTCTTTTTCACATCAGTGAAATACTTATCTAGCAGAAAGATCATCTTTTTGCTGCTAAAAAGTTGCTTCATATTTAACATGAGTACTCCCAAGGAAGTATCTGTGATAGTAATTTTTTTCCATGTTCAACACTGTAGGTATCTATGCCAGCAGCTCACGCAACATCATCTGCTCCCACCGTAACTTTAGTACAGCTGCCCAATGGGCAGACAGTTCAAGTCCATGGAGTTATTCAGGCGGCCCAGCCATCAGTTATTCAGTCTCCACAAGTCCAGACAGTTCAGGTATGTGTATAAAAAGTTGTGCATCTACCTTCATAACTGTTGTTTATAGCCATATCTCTCTCCTTTCATTAGTTTTGAAAATAGGAACATATGTAGTTCAGAGTTTAATTTTATTTTATGGTAAGGGAATATGCAGCATCTGTATAGTCACCTTATGTATAGGAACATATACATAGGAACAGACATAGAAAAAGACTTTTTCTTAAGCTATAGAAGAAAAAGAGTTGGTTGGGGAAAATCATTAAGTACTTGGGATAAAGTGGAAATGTTTGGGAGAGACTGTAAGGCTGATGTACCTCAGTTGAGGAAAATTGAGATACAAAAATAATAACTTTGTAATTATTTTCTAAACATGTAATTGGAAAAAAATAAACCCTTGTCAAGAATTAATTAATAACCTTATCTAAGATATTATTTGAATTAGAGATCACGAAAAGCATTTGTAAAACCAGCTACGTTTAGGGTTCTAAGTTAGAGTATATATCTTTGAACTAGTCATGTATTCAGAAAGTACACCTTAAAAATCAGGGATTATACTACACCTGTTACCTTATTCTTTGGAGAGATTGTTCCTTTGGGTTGGAACCAAAGAGGATAAAGACACATAGACCTCGGAAGGTGACTACTATACTTAATTGTAGGAACCTAGAGCAGTATACATCTTTGCAATGAGCTTATTGAAGAAACAAGACTTGAACATTCATTCAAGTAGGCCATAACCCCAGCCTCCCATTTCATATTTTTTGCTTCACAGTCTTCCTGTAAGGACTTAAAAAGACTTTTCTCCGGAACTCAGGTGAGTCCTAGGTCCTAGATTTGGAGAGAACTATTTTTAGAAAGGAAGGTGAGAAATTATTCTTTATATCTTTGACCTTCTCTATAAACATGGAATTCAAGGTATGAATAAAAATCTTAGAGATCTTCTAGGTCTAGGCCACATTTGTTACCTACCCAGCCCTTAGTCTATTGCCAAATTTCCCTATATAGTCTTTCTCCCCTCCTCCAAATGGTGATGGTCCAGCATTACTGGAACACTTCAAAGGAAGCGCTATCTCCTGAGGTAACTGGTTTATAATTAGGCGTAATTGCTAAAGTATTCTTCCCTCTGGTGGGCCAGAATATACCGTTCTGAAACGTTTACCTAGTGGTCCCAGTTCTGTCCTCTGAAACTGGGTAAGCAAGTTTAACTCCTTTTCTTTCTCTTCCCCATCTCCTGCACCCTTCCCATTAAAAAAAAATCCAGACTAAATAAATGCCTGTTTTTCTTCAGCTGTTTATTACATGGTGTAGCTTTGATTCCTCTTCACCATCCTTGTTGTCTTCTCGTGTGTGAGAGCTCCTGTGTTTCCTTGAGTGTGGTAGCCAGACTGATTGATATTTGTAGGGGTGAGAAGTACCTCCTTTGTCCCGGAAGCATTCTGTTAATGTCATCAAAGGACATGCATATTAGATTTTGTCAGCCGTATTGCACTCCTGAGTCACGGAACCCCTGGTACCCGCCTCTGCTTCATTCTGTCCTTGTGCTTTTGGTTTGCTTGGACAGTTAAGTGGGGAAAAAAATAGAATGTTTTCATGTGTAATCATCAAGTTGTCTAAATTTCCATACTGAAAGATACTGGGAATGAAATTTGTTACCAAGTAGGAGATAGTGTTGTCCAGGTAAACACCAAAAGAATTTCATATTTCAGTGGAATCACACTGACTGAGCAACAGTGTCCTTCATTTGCCTCAGTTTTTGTTTCATTGAATGCTACCCTACTGTTCTCCATACTTGCCACTACTACTTCCCCACTGATCTTTCTCTCGATAACAGTGGGGAGAACCTGACTTGCCAGTCAGGAGACCTGGATTCCAGACCTCACCTTAACCTTTGCTGCTTCTTTGTCACTTGTAGTAGGAGGTCTTTCTATAAAGAACACACAAAAATTACCAAAATTATAGCCACAAAATTTGTTAAGATTACAATTTTTGGTTATCATATGTGAGATTTAATGATTGAATGTATTCTTAATTTTACTCTTTACTTTGTGGCAGTAATAATAATAATTTGGACCTGGGGGTTATACAGCCATTAACTCTATAGAAATATGTATTTATCTTTTCAAGAACACATTTTTCTGTTGAGGTGAGCTATGCTTATAATTGAAAGCCTGAATTCTAAAAATAGAGACGCAAATATTGTATTTTTTCTTTAAAAAGCCTGAACCATGGAGAATCTATTAAACTTGATCGTTTCACCTGGTTAACAGTAATTAGTATTAATAACTAGGAAGTAGTTTGCATCAGAAGAGATGATCAAACAAGGAGAGAAATTGTCCCTCAGACTTCTAGACGAGAGAATATTAGTATTCTGGAACAGAGTTTGCAAAATAGGCAAAGTACATTTCTCTTAATGTGAGAATAAGATATTAGGACTTCTGTTTATATTTTTTAATCTAAGAATATTAGAAACTAAGCTGTACTAATATTTTATATATGGCTTGACATTGGTGCCCTAACTTTATTCTTATGTATATGTATAGGTCAAATCTCAAAGATTATGTGAGAATCCCCACAAAAGTAATGGGAGTTACACAAATGTATAGACGTTAACAGTGACATCCTCACTTTTTGTTTGTTGCTTTTGGACACATTTTCAATATAGTGCAGTTTAAATGTGTCAGAGGATTTGTGGATTATGTTACCTTAAATTATTACATTCATTCCTTCAGTGAATTTTTATTGATCACATGCTATGTGCCAGTCACTGTTCTAGGTGCTGTGAAAGACAGCAGTGAACAAATAATACTTCCCTATTCTCATGAAGATCACATTTGAGTGAAGAGACAATGAAAAAATAAAATATGTCAGGTGAGGACAAGTGCTGGGAAGATGACTAAAGCAGGGGAAAGGGATAGAGAATGGTGTGGGGGAAGGTGCTCTATATTATGTAGGGTGGTCAGGAACCAGAAGGCAGGGAAGGAGGCGAGCCATACAGGTAATCAAAGCAGACGCAAGGTCTCAAAAGTGACAGACACTTTACTCTCAGGAGTAGCAAGAAGATGGGGCTCGCATAAAGTGAGCAAGGGGAGAGGGGCTGGAGATGAAATCTTTGATAGAATCCTCACGATACTCTGTGATAGAATCCTCACGATACTCTGTGAAGGGGACAACAATAAAAATCTTTTGTGCAACATAGAGATTCAGTGGTTATCTTATAGCAAACTGTTTCAGAGTTGTCTCACAGAAGGATGCACTACTTGTTTGTTTTTACAGAAGACAAGTGTTCCAAAGTTTCTGATCTTTTCAATGATGGCAAGTAAGGACTTGCAAGGGATATATTACTAACAGTTTTATTTATTTATTTATTTATTTATTTATTTTTGGTGAGGAAGATTGGCTCTGAGCTAACGTCTGTTGCCAATTTTCCTCTTTTTGCTGGGGAAGATTAGCTCCGAGCCAACACCATGCCCATCTTCCTCCATCCCATATGCGGGACGCCACCGCACATAGCCCGAAGAGTGGTGCTCAAGTGCACGCCCAGGACGCCAACCCACGAACCCTAGGCTGCCGAAGCGGAGTGCGCAAACTCAACCACTACACCGCTGGGCCGGCCCCACTAACAGTTATTTTTTAAAAACATAAATCCATTTCAACTATCCTTTCTGGAAGAAAGTGACATTTTAACAGTGCATGAGAGGGCACCTGCGTTTTGAAAGAAGCCTGGGCTGTGGAGAGAGCATTTTGAAAACAGAAGTTTGGAAATGTTTCCATACTTTTTATTTAACTGCAAACAATGTAAATTTGTCACCTAAAAACTCGAATAAGTATACTTTTAAAACCTTGGAAATAGAATTTTCTGAACTATTAAGTCTTCTAGAGTTGCAGTAGGTATTGAACTTATTTGATAAAATATGGAACTATAGCATCTTCTATTAGCATACAGTAACTGAGAGCCAGGGAGGTGAAGATACACTAGATAAATCTCATCAAAAGTTTTATAATTGATAGATGAAAGTGAAAAATGATTGATTTATTTAGTAAGCCCAGCAAAAAATGCACTTACTTTTATATATATATATATATATATATATATATATATATATATACACACACACACATGAGTTCTCTTTTTCAGCAATAGCAGATGTTAAATCATATTTCAAAAGGCCCGAGCTTGGAATCAGATTTTTGAATCTCTGTCATAAAATATTAAATGATTTGTTAATGAAGCTTACTAGATAACATCAGTCTCACTATTATGAAAAATTAAATGAGTTTAAGAAATTTACAAAGGTATTTTAATGTTTATACTTATCCTATCTTTAAAAATTATTTTGTTTTATAACATAAAATTTACAAACAAGAAATATATATGTTTATGTAAAATTTTCTTGTTTATGAAGGAGATCTGCAGATCAAGAGTTTGATCATTGCTCTAGACTTATATTAAAATTCTTGATCCAGGGGGCCAGCCCTGTGGCTAAGTTGTTAAGTGCTCGCGCTCCGCTACTGGCGACCCAGGTTTGGATCCCGGGCTCACACTGACGCACTGCTTCTCCAGCCATGCTGAGACCGCGTCCCACATACGGCAACTAGAAGGATGTGCAACTATGACATACAACTAGCTACTGGGGCTTTGGGGGCAAAAAAAGGAGGAGGATTGGCAATAGATGTTAGCTCAGAGCCAGTCTTCCTCAGCAAAAAGAGGAGGATTGGCGTGGATGTTAGCTCAGGGCTGATCTTCCTCACCAAAAAAAAAAAAAAAAAAAATTCTTGATCCAGTGATTAAAAAACTGTACCTAAACCATGAGTCTGAACTCTACACAGGGAAAGTACTTAAGTTTCTAGGGGACTGTGTATAGTTTGAGAAAACATCTAATAATACCATTGCTTTCATTTGGTTCTAATCACTGTATATATTTTATTTTGAAACTTAAAATAACATCAAAATAGGAGGGTTTTTTTTCCCCCTTATAAACAGAAAGTATGGGTTTTTAACAAACTAAAAGGAAGTTGAGAAATACAGATCTAAAACCTTACATCTGCAAGTGGTGGTTTGGCTTTCTGAAAATTTGACTTATAAGTGGCCCAGGTTGAAGACCTATCTAAGGAGCTCAGGAAAGGTTTAATAAGAGAGATGATGGGAGGTGAGGACTAGAGGAAGGGGCTTTATCATTGGAATGTGATAGTAGTCTATGATAAGTCAGGATATAATTTTTCATATGATTACCTTTAATAACCTGTTAAATATATATTAAACTATAATTAATTTTTTTTATGAAAAGGATTTTTGACATGATTTTTATTGGTCTCAGAAATATGAGCCCCAGTGTGTTTTTTGTTTTTGTTTTTTGGTAGTCCATAGCAATTGGCTTCATACTTCTGAGTTCTCCCTGGATAGTATTCCCAAAGAGGAAATGTTACATTCATTATGTGGTATTGAATATTTGTGAATTCCCTTTACATTTAAAAAGTTATAATCACTACATAGGGGTAAGTTAATTCCCTCTGTCTGAATTGACAGAATCTTTTAGTTCAGAGGAAGGGGGGCTTTTTTCCATTAAAAGCAATAGATCCACTGAGTTTGAAAAAATATATATATCAAAGGCCATATTATAAAAAGGCAACATTAATTTATTTCATTTCAAAACTTCCTATAGGTGGTTTGTGTAGCATGTCTTAAAGTTGTTGTTTTAATGACTTTCAACTTGGGAGAGTATACCTAAGTCACTATATGTCCTTAAAAGAAGGGTGTATAAGGATGAGGGTCAAACAAAGAAGGCAGAAAGAACAAGAGAGGAACCAACGTTCTGAGAAGTATTGATGAAGGTTAGAAAACACTTGTCACAGTACTGTCCGCTTTGAGTTCGGTGTTCTTCCTTGAAATTCTGACCCTCAGCTAAGGCCTTTTCGCAGAGACTGCTGAGTGGGCTAGTTACGGCAGCTACGGATCGGTGGGAAATTGTTCTGTGTTCTCCTCTGGCGATAACTACAGCATTATGAGTCTGCAGAGAATCACAGACTAAATTCAGCCTTGCCTATCTCTTTGTCTGTCATTTCTGGATGCATTAAATGTGCCTGTTAATTTTTAGGTCTTTAAGACTATACTTCTGAGACGTTAAAGTGTTTGGATAGGGCACATTACTTATTGCAGGTACGTTTTATGAAGCATTACTAGATTTACCTAATTTCATTGTAAAGTGAGTGCATATCTCAAAGCCCTGTCAGCGAGTCCCCCGTCTCCAGAATGTTTAGGCTCAGACCACATTAAGAGGACCTTCGGGATTTCTCGAGTACTTCGGAAGATGTTTTTTCTTACTGCCACTTTCATAAATTTTGATGTGGAGCTAACCCACACAGACCCTTTTGCTTTGGTTAAATCTGGCTCCCCTTCTGACAGTATCATGTGCACCTAGTTCAGGAAGAGCAGGAGCTCCTGCTGATCAGACTAGAGAGACTTGGCAGTAAAAATTTGACAGACAGGCTTGCCTAGGTGAGGGAACTTTAGTCTAAAAACACCTCTGGGTTGCTGCTTCTGACAAAACTGGTTTGAGATTGGAACCAACAGGATTTAGATGCTGGTAAGGATGTCTAAAACTGAGATACCGAGTATTGACAGTGGCTCCCCTACTTCCTAGCTTTGTGACTTGGGTGAGTTACTTAACCTCTTTGTGCCTTAATTTTTCCATCTATAAAATGGATATAATAATCATACTTATGTAGCACCTGTTGTTACCGTATTAGTATTAAGTAATGTCATATATGTATGTGCTTTAGCGTAGCACCTGGCACATAGTAAGTCCTCAGTAAACACTGGTTGCTATTTTTATCATCCCATGTAAAATCTTTATTCAACTTATTGTCATTACTTTTCAGTCCAGGGTTACTTTCCAGAAATGCACAGTTCTTTACCTTGATTTTTTGCTTAATAAAAATCATAGAATGCCAGCTCTGAAATGTGTCCATTTGTAGCAGAGGGTTTCTTCCTAACTTGCTAGAAACAGTCATCTGGAACATGGTGGGGGGGCACTGACCTTATTTGTACAATTGTAAATATATTCACAAGTAATTTATACAGCAGTTAAAGGAAAATATTTGTATAGTCACTGTATAGACTTAGATGACCAAATATTTAGTCATTTGTTCTATCCTTCATGTCAGAAACCTTATCTTACTTGGTACTTGTATTCTAACAACTATAAGAAAACAACTGACAAGTAATATTGATGCATTCAGGAAGTCCTGAAAAGAGATTAAGCTGAGTTTGGTTTTGACAAAAATTTTTTAGGTCCTCTGACTTCTATAGGATAAATAAAGGGGAGAGGAAAGTGATTAGTGTGGTCATCTCCCATAAAAACTTTTTTTTTTTCCTACCGAAGCGTGTACAAGGTTTATATATGTCCTTTTGTATTTGACTTTTTCTTAAAATTTATAAAAATTTTATGGGAACTAAAATTTGATTATCAAGATAAAGTTCTTCTTTATTTTCAGATTTCAACTATTGCAGAAAGTGAAGATTCACAGGAGTCAGTGGATAGTGTAACTGATTCCCAAAAACGAAGAGAAATTCTTTCAAGAAGGCCTTCCTACAGGTATGGAATTTAATGGTTAAAAGAATTTAGAATCAAAGATGTACAGGAGGGCCGGCTCCGTGGCTTAGCGGTTAAGTGCGCGCGCTCTGATGCTGGCAGCCCGGGTTTGGATCCCGGGCGCGCCCCGAGGCACCACATCTCCGTCCAACCCGAGGCCGAGTCCCGCGTACAGCAACTAGAAGGATGTGAACCTACGACATACAACTATCTACTGGGGCTTTGGGGGGAAAAATGAATAAATAAAATCTTTAAAAAAAAAAAAAAAAAGATGTACAGGAAGCCTTGGGTAGTGGCGGATGAAGAGTTCAGAAGACCAGTGAGCTGCACAATTCAGTAGCATATAGCTTACTTCTCTTCATCTTGAGTTACGTCTCTCAAATAAGTTGAAGCTTATCATACAGAATAAGAGCACTTCTTACTCACAACAGTCCTGGATAAACACTGATTTTTTTTTTCTGCTTCTGTTTATGTCGACCATACTGGCTGCTGCTTTTCTATTAAAAAGTTTGGAGGGCCGGCCCCGTGGCTTAGCAGTTAAGTGCGCGCGCTCCGCTGCTGGCAGCCCGGGTTCGGATCCCAGGTGTGCACCAACGCACCGCTTCTCCGGCCATGCTGGGGCCGCGTCCCACATACAGCAACTAGAAGGATGTGCAACTGTGACATACAACTATCTACTGGGGCTTTGGGGGGAAAATAAATAAGTAAATAAAATCTTTAAAAAAAATAAAAAGTTTGGAATACATTTTTGATAAGGTTATAGCATTTTCTAGTTATATGTCAGTTCTGAGACTATACTGTTTATCTACTTAGCAGCACATTTGCAGACTGTTTCTTAAGCCGTGGTACTTAGCAAGTAACCGTTAATTTAATAGTTGCTTCAGGGTGATGCTTTGCTGATATCCCCTAATTTTAGGGACACTTATTGTAGATTTTGTGTTCAGCTGTAGAAATTGACTAGTCCATGCTCTGCCTCCAAAGTGAACCAAAACCATTTTTTAAAATATGTAGAAATTGGCTCCACACTGAATATCTCCAGGAAGAGCAGTTCTACAAATCTTCATGAGCTTACTTCAGAGGTTAATAAACTGCAAACTTGTGGTATTCTTCCTTAGTTTTTATTTTTTTGAGGACGATTGGCCCTGTGCTAACATCTGTTGCCAGTCTTCCTCTTCTTTCTTTTTTCTCCCCAAACCCCCAGTACATAGTTGGGTATCATAGTTGTAGAGTTGTAGCTATTCTATGTGGGACGCCGCCTCCGCATGGCTTGATGAGCAGTGAGTAGGTCCACGCCCAGGATTCAAAGTGGCGAACTCCGGGCCACTGAGGGGGAACAAGCAAATGTAACCACTACGCCGTTGTGCTGGCCCCAATATTCTTCCCTATTATTAGCCTAAATTATTTCTGTTTGTGTATATTCCTGCTTTTCAAAGGGATGGTTAGTTTTTTTTTTCCACTTGGCTACTAAGCTAGCCCTTTTCTCTATCCTCACAATTAAGTTAAGGATCCAATTAAATTGATGTTGAGGTCTTAAGAAATTTTATGTTACCAAGTATGTGTTGTATGCGTTTATACTCATAATTTCATTTTTTAAAATATAGCTAGTTTTAGATTTTAACTTTGAAGTATATCTCATGTTAGTATATAACACATTTAATCCTGAAGCAAATCCTACCAGGTATTAAGAAACAAGCTACATGGCTTCTCTCTATGTAAATTCTAGGCAAATCTGTAGACTTTATGAAAGCTGAGGTTTATATTGAAAAAAATCTTTCATTTGCCTTAATTCTTTGTAACCTATATCCCATCAAAGATCTTTTAAATAATAACACTTTAATTAATAATCAAATAGAAGATGCCTGAGACCACACATATGTAGAGAAAGGGCTACTTTCATGAAAGGTAGAGGTATCCTCCCATACAATCAAACCTCCACAGCGGGGGTGTACCATTTTTTCTTTTAAGTTGATGAATTCTTGAAACCTAGCCTCTATGTCTTGATTATAACAAGGTCTTTAACAAAGTCCTTATGATATGCTTGTGAAGTTGGAGAGATGGAGATTGATTGATAATACAAGATGAGTTTTTATTGGAACAACCCAGCTTTATAGTGATTAATTTATACCCCGAGGGAGTCCTTGAAGGGCTCTCGCTTGTCTCGTCTGGCTTCATATTTTTACCAGAAATTTGCTGAGAAACATAGAAGCCATGCTTATCAAATTGCAAATGACAGAACCTTTGGGGACCCTGATGGGTGGGAGTATAGTACTCTGAAAGATCATAGCAGCCAAGGGAAATAGACTGAAACAAAAGGAGGAAATGCTGGTGATAAGTGTAAAACTTCTGAACTTGAGTTTAAAATAAAACCAGTTATTCCAGTACAGGATTCTGGATTAAGAATTCATTTGAAAAAGATAATTATGTTCTTTAATTACCATTGATGAGATATGATTACCAAAAAGCCAGTACACTGTAAGGCTACATTGGTAAAAACCTATGTCTAGATTAAGGGAGGGAATCTACCCCACTGTTCAGACGACATCTGGAAGATACTTTAAGAGAAAGGGAACTGTCTCCAAGGGGAGAATGATCAAGATGGTCCAGAGCAACAATTTGAGAAACTGGAAGGAGAAGACCAAGAAGGATCACTGGCTTCATGCAAAAGGGTAGATTTATTTGCAGGTCTAGAGTAATAGCTTTTAAACTTTTTTTTTTTACACAATCCACAATAAGAAATATATCTTACAATTCTCTATACATACAATTACACATACACACATATATAGGCATCGGAAGCAAAAGTTACACAAAGCAATACTCATCCTTATCATGTGTGATGTTCAGCTATTTTTTGTTTTTATATATTGGTTGTAACATACTTAATTGTTTTCATGGCCCACACATGGAATGTGACCTCAGTTTGAAAAACTTTAGAGACCAGTACTACTCAAAATGTGGTCCAAAAATCAGATTAGTAAATCAGCATCTCGTTAGAAATGCAAATTCCCGGGAGCCTACCCTATACCTAACCATGGAATCTCTGGGGAGGGGACCTGGGAATCTGTGTTTTAACATGCTCTTCAAGTGCTTCTTTTGTATGCTGAAGTTTGAGAAACAGTACTCCAGAGCAGTGATTGCAAAGTGTGATCTGCTGACCACTGAGTCCACAAGCTGTTTGAGATGTTTATGTTTCTCATTCACAAAGCAATAAAGGAGAGAAGATCATCCTTACAATCAGAATAGGAGTTTACTAAATGAGAACAGGCAGATATGGAAAACAATGAGTAAGAAATCTTGGAAGTGAGAGATACAATCAGTGGAATTATAAAAGAGAAATAGTAAGTGGGATAAACTAGATACAAGTAGTTGGTGAGGGAATTGATAAACTGGAAGAGAACAAAGAAAGTAACTGGGAATGGAGAGCAGAAACCAGTAGAAATGTATGAGGTGAAAGTCATAGAGAATAGAGGGAGGTCCTCCAGGGAGGCATTTCTAGAATTTCCAGAGGGCAGACTGGGAGAAAGGGAATATTTAAAGAGATAATGTAGAAATTTTCTGCAATACCAGTAAATGTAATTATAAGGTCATATATAAAGGTAAAAAGTTTTGCTTTCTAAGTCCTCTTTTTTCCCTAAATTATTTGAAAGACAAATGCATAAAATAATAATTGTAAATCTGTTAATGAGCACACAATATATGAACACGTAGTTTGTCACAATAACAGCATAAAGGGGCAGAGTTTTGGCAGACTGTCGAAGCTAAGTTATTATTAATTCAAACTGGTTTGTTAGAAATTTAAGATGTCAAAAATTACTTGGGTTAGGATTTTTTTCCTCTCTTCTGTGATTATGTTAAGCATTTGAAGTATGGTAAGGTTCATTTGTTTTTGTTTGTGTTCCATTTTAGAATTTTTCCCTCATCCTTGTTGATATCATTTCCTTTTTCTGAATATATGAAACATTAACACAGTTCCAAAAATCAGAATTATACAAAAATATATACACACTCAGAAGTGCACCCCCCTTTACTCTTTCAATCCTTTCTTCTTTCCCACCCACCCCCAGTAGCTGTCTAATCTCATTGAACTCCATCTAGTTTATCCTTTCCAATTTTTTTCTTGAACAGATGAGCAGGTACATGTATGTTTTCTTATTTCACTTTCTTTCCTGTACAAAAAATGCCATGCTTTATCCATTATTGGATGGACCATGGTTCATACTCCTGTGTGTGGGCATGGAGATTGCTTCCAGTATTTTGCTATTACTCACAGTGCTACCGGGAATAGCCTCATGCATCTGTATTTTCATCCTGTTGGACGTGTATCTTCAGGGTAAATTCCAAGAAGTAAGATTGCTGTGTAGACACATACAGTTTCGTTAGCTGTCACCACTTTCCTTCTCTGCAGGTGGTCCCAACAGCAGTGTATGAGAGTGTCTGTTTTCTCACAACTTTGTTAACAGAATATATTGTTACACTTTTTTTAGTTTTACCAATCTGAAAAGTGAGAAGTTATAAGTCAGGGTTTGGCTCTTTTTTTCCCTCAGTTTTTAAGAATTCTTTCTATATTGGGGATATTGGGCTTTTATCTGTAATAAACGTAAACATTTTCTCCTAGTGTTGTTGATCGTCTTTTGACTTTATTTTTGCTGTTCTTTGCCATGCAAAAGGATTTTTTTTCTGTAGTAAATTTTATTAATCTCTTTACTTGCACCTGGATTTTAAATCCTAGTCTTTCTTTATATTCAAGTTAAAGGGAAGTTCATCTGTTGATGAAAAATTTATTTTTTCTAGTCCTCAAATTGTTTCATTTTGACATATAGAACCCTGATCCATTTTTAGTTTATTCTTGTAAATTCTTACATTTTAAACTTCTGTGCTAAGCACTAGCAGCTTTCTGCCAGTTTTCTGATCTTTTCCTATTATGTGTATTTAGCCAGTTAATGTTACTTTTATTTTAATTAATATAGTTCTTTATTTTACTAGGAAAATTTTGAATGACTTATCTTCTGATGCACCAGGAGTGCCAAGGATTGAAGAAGAGAAGTCTGAAGAGGAGACTTCAGCACCTGCCATCACCACTGTGACGGTGCCGACTCCGATTTACCAAACCAGCAGTGGACAATATAGTGAGTAATAGATGTTTCTGTTTTGAAAAGTGAGACAAGAAATGCATGGCTGGATCCTCCTGAAAGGAATCATATAAGTGCAAGCTCTTTTCTCAGTCTTGGCTGCCATTATTGTATTTCCTTTACTGTTCAGTATGTGAAGTTCTGTAATGGAAGTACTTTCTTTCTTCAGAGTTTTAGTTAGGATTGCTCAGGCTGTGTAGCCCTTTAGATGGCCCTTTGTTTTGTGCAGATGCATGGAGAGTCTAAGAAGTGTTCTGAACCAGTACTTGAAACTCTAGGTTTTAGTTCTCATATAACATATGATGTTAATAGAGAACATGAGTTTTTTCAGATAAAGAAAATAATCATTCTTTGATTATGTTTAAGGCCAAAAATGGTCTTATTATTCATCTGTTTATTTATTTATTTATTTTTTGTGAGCTAACATCTGCTAATCCTCCTCTTTTTGCTGAGGAAGACTGGCCCTGGGCTAACATCCGTGCCCATCTTCCTCCACTCTCTAGGGGACGCCGCCACAGCGTGGCTTGCCAAGTAGAGCGCATGCACCCAACCGCTTGCGCCACCGGGCCGGCCCCTCATTATTCATCTATTTTAATAATTTATCTTCCTTTCTAAAAGTAGCATTTTAAAATCATATTTAATGTTTTGTGGTGGGGGTGGAGAGGCTTGGTTGCACTCTACTAATACATTCAATTATTATTCCTTTTGATATAAAAGGTAGTTTAGTGAATTATGATCATGTCAACATAAGGACTGCTGAAATTAAGAGGATACTTTGCTTTTTGGTTCACAGAAAGAAAAGATTTCTTTTGCAGAATTATCAAAGATTTCATTTCTTTGACGTCTCTGTCTGATACTTAGGTCTCTCTTCTTATGTTTCACCTAAACCTATTACAAAGTACTTTTGAGTTCTGGTTTTATTTGATCAAAGGCATTTGTGTGAATGGTACTTTTTTCTCTTTTCCCAATATGTTTTTGCCTCCCAGAGTGCCTTACACATTTGATTTCTTCATTAAGTCCTGCCCATTATCCAGTCTTCCCCCTCTCTTCCTCAATTACAAATTAAATATGCACATTGAAACTCCTGTGCTGCATTAGTTTTCTAATGCCCTGGGGTAGTCTGTGTCAGAAATATGTATGTAAGTTTGACTCCCAAGTTCATAGTTTTCCAATTACAGCTCAACCTTGGTTTGCGTAACACTAATTTGCATTCCAACTGTATTGAAAACAAATTCCCAAGTAGCAGACATTTTTAGCCCTCCCAAAGCTGAAACTTTTGATAGTAAGTAGAATGAAGGCAGTTTTGGCTAAGCTTGTTGTGCACTCTGTAAGCTTCATAGAGTTCAATCATCTTTTCCTTCTTAAGTTCTTTGTTGGCAGAGATACACAGGTACTATCTATGTATGTGGATGGGTGTATTTTTTAGCCTTATATCCAAATAATTTGAGTTATTCAAGACGTGTGTTCTAAGACATTGATACATGACCTTTATTTTTCCCCTGCTTCAGCACACCTGAGGGATACAGCATACTCCTGTTAGTAACAGTGATTCACTTACTACAGCGAATCTCACTTGAACCAGAAAATACGCTCTTGAGGAAAGAGGCATAGCAGAATCTCAAATAGGGAAGCGAAGTTTAGAAAAGTAGATGTTTAACTTGGCACAGTGCTCTCCTCCAGCAACTGAACATTGCTAGTTTTAAAAGGTTAATACTTTGAGATTTTTAAAGCTTTATTCAATATCTTTATCCCTTATTCTCTCTGTATGTACACATATGGCCTTGATGGAACTGATTTAACATGTCCTTGATTGTTATTAAGAACCAATACGACTACTTACATCTACAACATTTATATATTTCTTAACATAAAACAAATATATGGTTGTGAAAATGCAAATGGCGGAGGTATATAGTATTAGTAAAAAAGTAAAAATCCTTTTCATCCCTCCCCGGTCGTAAGAGTTTGGTATATATTCTTCCATTCTTTTTTATTTTATTTATACATACACCTGTTATATATTTTTATATAAATGAGACCTACATTATATACCGTAGACATATATACACATATAGTTATGTATATTGTTTCTTTAACAGCTACATTGTGTTTCACTGTATAAATATAACATTTATTTAAATATTTCACACACACTGATGAATATTTTGGACATTTCTACTGTTTCAAACAATGCTACATGAATGTTCTCATATATGTAGTAGTGTCTTGGTGGGAGAGCATCTGAATCCAAGCATATCCTGCCCAATTGCCCTTCCCAGTGGCTGCACCGATTTGTATTCCTTCCATAAATTGGTTACTTTTTTTTTATTAATACTGTTAACTGGTTTTACCCATTACTTGGTTCACTACCCCCGATAATAAAGTCTTGTTTGAGAGATTCTATTTCTTAGGTAGAAAAACGTGTCTTACCATTTTGAACTTGAATTTTTTGTTTCACTAAATGAAACTGTAACCCATGATGTTTTCCGCTTTATTTTGGCTGCTCAGAATCTCAGCTAAGTTTATGTTTAATTGTATTCTTTCCTTCTTGTAGATTTTCTGGTAGAATCATTGTATACACCTAGAGACACATCAGTTACTTGACTTCTATCTTTTCCTTCTTGTTTTAATGAATTTAGTTTTATTGAATACTATTCAGAATCCTTTTGGAATAATCAAGTGTATAAATAAATATGATAGAGAAAAACTATATTTGATAGGATCAGAATTCAGTTGTCAGAGTACTTTCATATACGTGATCTAACTTGATTTTTCCAACAATTGTACTTAGTGGCTAGAACTAGATATTTTTATTTTTACAGAAGAGGTAACAGATTCAAATAACAGTTTAGTGATGGAACTTGGACTAGATCCCAGATCTTCTGAAATCTAGTTGCTGTGTGTGTTAAATACAGTGGAATTTGCTTATTAACTCTATATAAGAAATTGTGGTTTGATTCTGTTAACCTTCTGATTCTTTCAGGGTATCCTGCAATGTTAATCTCAGAATAGTTCTTACATATTCCTTTGTTTTTCCTTGTCTAAGATAAGTAAAACTTATGGGATTAGCTAAAGTGGATGGATTGTATATGCCAGTATCTTAATTTCCACAGGTCTCATTTGCTAAACCAAATCATAGCCATTAACTGTTATTATTTCTTGACTGAACAGTAGATAATCAATTTTCCATATACAGATGACTCAGGATATTAGTTACCCAGAGCTGGCTGACAATTGATCCCAAACTAATTCCTTCTAACAGACAAAAAGTAAAATGCTTAAGCCCGAGTTGTTGACTTATTCAGTTGAAATCATTATGCAATTTTATATATAATGTTGTGATTTTTAGTCCTCTTTCTGGAAAACTTGAACTCTAACAGGGAGAGTATCTAGAGAAGGATCCAACCACCCATCTCTGGTGGTGTCTGGTATCTAAAGATTGCTTCTTCCAAATAAAATAATAATCTATTTCTTTTTATTAACACTTTATACTGTAGCATAAAGGTGAATTCAGTTTTTTTATAAAGTGAAGTATCTATTAGTATGAGCCAGAGTTTATTACTTTATAACAGATGCATGACAAGTGTGGTTAATTAGTGAATAACCAACAAAAGATCCAATATGAGAATGCTTGAATATGTAACTTAGAAATAGCAGTAAAATATTTTTTTTCTAAATGATGATCTTGAGCTCTAATTTTAAACTCTGAGAGACTGTGATAAAGTTTCATAGGACATTTCAGTTCTTTCATTGAGTGGACTTTTGTTATAGTTTATGCATTGCTAGCTGAGTTACAGAACAGAATGCACTACTGAATTGCTTTATTAATTATGCATTAAAACAACCATTTATTGGGTACCTATTACATGCCTACTTCTATGCTAAGTACATGAAAGTAGAGAAGAAAAATCACATTTCCTACCCTCAAGAAATGTATATACTAGTGGGGCAGCACATATTAGACAATTAAAATATTATGTAGTGGGCCGGCCCCGTGGCTTAGCGGTTAAGTGCTCACGCTTGGCTACTGGCAGCCTAGGTTCGGATCCTGGGTGCGCACCAACACATCGCTTCTCCGGCCATGCTGAGGCCACGTCCCACGTACAGCAACTAGAAGGATGTGCAATTATGACATACAACTGTCTACTGGGGCTTTGGGGGGAAAAAATAAATAAATAAATAAAATTTAAAAAATAAAAATAAAATATTATGTAGTTAATGTTAGAATAAAGGAAGTATGGATTACAAAGTGGTACCTCCCCTGAACCAAGTAACTTCAAAAGGAATTTAACATTTTCTCATTAATCTATTTTTTTGATTGTTAACAGACATTATTAGAAATGATGTGGTTCATAGAGTGCATTTATATTATAGGAATTGGATATGGGTTTCCTGAGCAGAAAGTTACCTGAGTATACCAAATCCTTCTTGGCAATGTTATTTGCTGTAATAATTTCTCCTAGATTATGTCTTGCAAATTATTCTACTTTGAATTTTATGTATTATAAAAGTCTTGTATGGTATTAAACTTGTAACAACAAAATCCATTGGGTTTTAGTTGCCATTACCCAGGGAGGAGCAATACAACTGGCTAACAATGGTACGGATGGGGTACAGGGCCTGCAAACATTAACCATGACCAATGCAGCTGCTACGCAGCCGGCTACCACCATTCTGCAGTATGCACAGACCACTGATGGACAGCAGATTTTAGTGCCCAGCAACCAAGTTGTTGTTCAAGGTAAGAGAATTCAGAATTGACAGGTGTGGTCAGTTCTTTGAAAGGTTAAAATTTTATAAACTCAGGAAAAGTAAGTATAACACTGCAAAGCATTGTTAAAATGTAGTTTATTTTTCTTTATTGTAGGTAGTATTTTCCATGAACTCTTCCATTATTTCAATTGGACCAAAATGTCATGGCATAAAAACAACTATTTTACGTTTTAAAAATATAACATCTATCTTGAACACCTTTAGCATTTAGGGATAGGAGAAACAGAGTAGGTTGGAGGGAAAGACAATGAAATCTGGATTTAGGAAAGCGAGAGTCTAGATGTAACTGCATAGATTTGCTATGTGACCTTGAGTAAGAGCCAGCTTCTCTAGGCCTCGTTTTTTCTCACATGTCAACTGAGAGTTGTACTAAATCACTGATAAGAATCTCTGGAGGTTCAAAATTCTGTTTCTCTGCTTTTTATTCAAAAGAAATTTACATCCTCGTTTCTAAGATCATTTTTTATTTCAGATAAAAGCATTCTATTCTGACATATCTTATACCAGTATGCAAGTTTACTGGTCTATGGAGAAAAAGTAGTAGTTAAATCCTGAATGAATTATAGAAATAGCTTTTTTCTGTTTTATTTTTTAATTTAATTTTTTTGTTTTCTTCCTATTTGTTTCAGGAATCTTTATGGATAGGAGTTGACCATTTTTCTTTGAATCATCAGAACATTTTAAGAATATGATTTATGTCAGATTGAAAATGTGCATATTGAGGAAATAATAAATCTGTTTCTAAAAATATTTTCATTAATAATACTGTGTTTGCTCTGCTAGGTAATGACAGTTGTGGCCCTTCCCCATGGGTGATAATTTTTGAATAATCCTAAAGTACCAACTAGAGAGAGTCATAATTTATTTAAAGGGCCTAATGTATTTACAGAATGTATTCTGTTACTAAACATAATATTTGAAGAAGATAGTATTTTGCTTACTAATGGGAATAAAACAGCTTTTCACTTTACATGCAGGTACTCACAAATTGTAAAGCAGGATGTCAGTGCATTTGAATTCTGAACGTCAGTTTGAAGATGGTAACATGTTTAGTATATAAATGTTTTACACTCAAACTACACATTTTAATTGATATTAATGACAAATATGGATAATTTTATAAAGAGCTTCAAATTCTTTCAGATAATGTTAGGTTCCTTATTCTTAGGAGAGCATATTATTAAGGTGTTTAAAAAGCAGTTTGACAAATAGTGATTGGTTTTTTCCCACAAATGACGGATCATTTAGTTAGAAAAATAAACCACCCATTTATTTAGCCATTATCATTTACATTAAAACAATGTTTACAAATAATAATGTTGGCATCAAGTGGTACAATTTTTCATACTTTCAGTTTTGTTTCAATTAGAAATTTATGATAGTTGACCATAATGCTTTATTTTCTCTTCCATTTTGCTATTTTATGAAAAATCATGGTCGTTTTTATGTCGTGGCAAGAGTCTACTTGAAATTTTTTAATATGAACTTACCAATATCAAAGGAAGACATTGAGGACTCTATCTAGGAAGATCATCCAAGCTGTGCCCTATTACCTTTAGACGTAAGGTTGGTAAGCATGTTAACAGCAGAATAGACCTGCATTCCAGTGAAAGCTAAATAAATATAAGACCCAGCAAACATAGGTTAATACGTGTTTCACCCAAGTGTCTATACTAATAAATACATTAAATTGGGAATTATTTCTCAATAATGACCCAAAGAATTTTGTTGATTCTTTCAAATTTTAGTCTGAATCATTTGTTCCTTTTTTCCCCTTTTAATCCAAATGTATGTTTAGACCGATGATGGATACGTAGTTTTACCAAGTCACCATGCTTCAGTGTCTTACACCATGCTGTTTTTTTCAGCTGCCTCTGGAGATGTACAGACATACCAGATTCGCACAGCACCCACAAGCACCATTGCCCCTGGAGTTGTTATGGCATCCTCCCCAGCACTTCCTACACAGCCTGCAGAAGAGGCAGCACGAAAGAGGGAGGTCCGCCTCATGAAGAACAGGTATGTCTATTGCATTTACTTAGATTGTTGTAGGTCAGATACGTTGGTTCAGATTCTGCCAGACATGTGTCTTTTACATCTGCTGACAAAAGTATCTTTGCATTGAGTCTTTTTCTGGTAGAGTTGATGGATCTTGCTAAAACTTCTTTATTTAATAAGCTGCGCTTATGAGATGGCCACTGGGATTATGGATCAGTCTTTGATCATAGAATAGTTTTCTTTCATGCAGTTTCTCCATGAGAGATTAAATGCACAACTGTGCTATATTTTCACTGTGCTTTAACCATCTAGCTAGGTGATATAAAAATTGTTTCTTTTCCTGAGTAGTATTGTTGAAGAAGATCAAGAATTTAATGTATGTATATTAAAATTAAATGTTAGTTTTATTTATATTAAATTTATTTGTAATAAAGAAAATGGATGATGGCCAGTCCATGTTTTAATAAATCTTATCTTTACTCAATAACAATTTAACACCTAAATAAAGAGTCTGAAAATAGATTAATTCTAAGAATACCTGGTTATTGACAAAATCTTAAAATAGAGTTAGTCTTCAATAATGAAAATGCTGAGTATCAAAAATCCATGAAATGTGGACAGAGTAATTCTCATAAAGTAAATTCATAGCTGTAAATGGTTTTGTCATCAAAAAACAAGATAAAATATTTTTATTTACTTATATTTACCTTAGTATTTTTATTTATTTAGCTTAGGATTTAAATATTTAACTTAGGATTTTAACATGGACATGACTTAAGACAAACCAAAGAAAATGAAAATAAAGGTATATAAAGATATAAAAAGTTTGAAATTGGTGAAAATATTCCTCTGCTCTTCACCTCAAAACTCTTCAAACACTATGACAAAGTGAAAGAAACCTAGAGATTGAACTCAGAAGATCCAGATTCAAGTCCTGGATCTACCCCTTTTCCTGTGAATTTGGAAGAACTTATTAACCTTCTAAACCTCAGTTTTCTCCTTCGTAAAACGGGATCCCACCACCCACCTAGACGGTTGTTCTGTGGGTCCAATAAGATAATTCCTCTGAAAGTACCTTGTAGCTATAGTGCTCTGTTGAAGTGTTTGTTTTTATGCAATTTCTTGTTTCAGCTCAAATTAACCTCTTTCATTCCTAAAATATTCTTAGCTCTTATAGAGTGTTAGTAAATTACATCTACGTTATAAGAAATGGCAGAGCTTTTTCTGGGATATTAGGAAAAGAATTGGAAAGAAGCTGAATGACTTTTATTTGTGCTTCATCAATCTGTGATTTTCTTCAAGTATTTAAGTTATAATAATAAACAGAAGTGGGCCAGCCTAGTTGTGTAGTGGTTAAGTTTACACGCTCCACTCTGGCACCCGGGGGTTCTCGGGTTCAGTTCGGATCCCAGACGTGGACCTACACACCGCTCATCAAGCCATGCTGTGGCGGCATCCCACATATAAAAAAAATGGAGGAAGATGGGCACAGATGTTAGCTCAGCGACAATCTTCCTCAAGCAAGAAGAGAAGGATTGGCAACAGATGTTAGCTCAGGGCCAATCTTCCTCACACATGCAAAAATAATAATAATAATAAACAGAAGCGTAAAAGCTACATTCATATTTAAATGTATTTTAAAATACAAATTGAACTAAAATCTTTTCAGTTTAAAAATATTTGTAAGGAAACGTTTAACCCTTTGTAAAATTAGAAGCAAGTCTGATTAAGAAGTCTCAAGTAAAGGCTAGGTTATAAAATTTAAGACAACAGCACTTACTAAAGAAACTAAATCCTCTTATAAAAACAACAGAAGGATTTCAGATTATGTCTATGTAGTTTGGCTCTGTGGAACAGAAAAGACTAAGAGGCAGTGTCAGTGTCAGTGTCTGCTCTGTTGTAGAGGCCAGCCCAGAGAGCTGCCCATTTGTGAAAACTCGTTAATTTGACTAGCAGACCAAATTGTCTTTTTTCTCTATTCATTTGATTTATGATCCGCCCGAGACGCATGCACAAACACATAAAACGTACACACCAGCTTGAGGGACAGGGCACATAGCTGCAGTTCCTAACAACCTTTGTTGCCTGAGATCTTCAGGGAAGCTACCCGAGTTGAATAAAATACTTGGGCTTGGATTTCGCTTCACTGTAAGGAGACTTCTCATTGACTCTGCTGTAGTTCCCTTTTCACTTTACTCCCAGATTACTGCTACTTCTCCTTTGCCAACTTCCATTCACTAGAATCTGGCTTCTGGGACCACCATGCCATTCTTACGTCTTATTATAAAAAGGTACAGATTCCCTCTCACTTGGTAAATCCGGTATTCTCTTTTCATTTCCTTTTACCTTTATGCAGTATTTGACACTTTTGACTGCTCATTCTCCTAAACTCTTCTTCTTTGGCTTACTCCCCTGGTTTCTGCCTACTTTGCAAATTCTCCCTTGGGACCTCCATCCACACCCATATGTTCCAGGCATCACCTGTGTGCTGGTCCCTCCTAATTCTGTGTATTCTGGCCTTGACTTTCCCCTGAGGTACTGTTTACTGAGGGCCCACTATGTGCTGGACACTGTAAATAGCTGCTTTGCATATGTTATTTTATGCTTCCTACAATGAGGTAGAAGCGTATCTCCACTTTACAGGGGAGATTTGGTTCAGAGAGAAGTTAAATATCGTGCCAAAGGTCATACACTTTAAGAAATTGGTAGAGCTGAGATTTGAGCCTGGATCTGGCCCAAAGCCTGTGTACCTGCTACTTCTCAGACTCCAGTGTGCAGCCATCCCCTGCTCTACCCCTCAAACTGGAGGGCACAGCAGTGTGCTGGAGATGTGTAACACCGAGAGGTTAACATGGAATGCTTTCCTTGAATGTTTATTTTGCTCAAAAATTTTAGAGAAATAAACATTTTTAATAAAAATAAGAGATTTAAAAGAAATTCACACCAGCAGTGGTTGCATTGGGTTATGCCCTCAGAATCCCCATATTTAGTTTCCTCTACCACTATATGTACTTTTGTGGAAAATTTAGAGAACCACTCTCCTGAATATATTCACTAGGATGAATGTCCCCTATGCACCCCAAACACAGCCTATCTTAAACTATAGTTTGATGAGAAGTTGTGATCTCAAAATTCGGCACCATCTAAATTACTGTTTACTCAAAAATGAAGATAACTGGTAAACATTGTAAAAGAAAGTATAGGTGGTGGTGTTACTAATTTGTGTTGCCGCAGTAACAAAAAAATCACAAAATCTCAGTGTCTTAGAACAACAAAAATTTCTTCCTCACTTAGGTTATTTTGGCAGCTATAAGTCAGCTGCTGTGGCTCTCCTCCATATTTTCCCAGCCAAAGGAGGAGCCCCTCTTTGAGGCATGTCATTCTTGTAGCAAAGGGACGGGGCGATGCCTTGTGAAGCATCTGCTTAATCTCGGCGTGTGTCGTGTGCACTCATGTACCACTGGCCGAAGCACAGGCAAGGCCAGCCCAGTGTCAGTGGACTGGGAATGTGTGCTCTTTGCACAGGGAAGGAAGAGTGAAAAATTATGAAAGTAGTACAACTCACCACCCTTGTCTTATAATTTTAGATTTGCAGATGTATTTTAATAGATTTCTTAAAGGCAGACGAAATAAAGGAAAAGTTTAAATAGGTTTGACCATATAAAAATATAAAACCTCTGTTTAGCCAAGAAAAAGATTAAGTAGCTAAGCAAATAAACTAGAAACATTTTAACAAATAAAGTCAAAAGACGAATGAGTTAAGGATATGAATGGGCAGATTCCTAGAGAATGAATTAGAAATGAGTAAAAGTTGAAAAATTCCAAACAATTAAAGTGTGTATGATCCATTCAGCTGTATGCAACCAACCATTAAGAATGAAGATAGGTGTATTTTTATTGAGATGGGAAGATGCTCACAGTGGAAAAAAGCAGGTTACCAAAGAGAGTATGTATATTACAATCCCATTTTTATTTATTTTTCTTACACAAGTAAAACGTGCTCATTATAAGCACACTAGAAAACATAAGCTAGAAATTGAATCATTGCTAATTGCACTGCCCAAAGTGTTAACATTCTGGAGTATAATTTTTTTTCCCTAATTATATATGTGCAAAGATAAATAATACTTTTTTTCTTCTTTTTGTGAGGAAGATCGGCCCTGAGCTAATATCTGCCAGTCCTCCTCTTTTTGCTGAGGAAGACTGGCCCTGGCCTAACATCCATGCCCATCTTCCTCCACTTTATATGGGACACCTGCCACAGCATGGCCTGACAAGCGGTGCGTCGGTGCACGCTCGGGATCCGAACTGGTGAACCCCGGGCTGCCGCATCGGAACGAGCGCACTTAAGCGCTTGCACCACCAGGCCGGCCCCAAATAATACATTTTTAATATGTAGTTTTTAACTTCTTATTTTGAAATAATTTTAGACTACAGAAGAGTTGTAAAAATAGTACATAGTTCCTGATACTGTTTATCCAGCTTCCTCTCATTTTAACATACTACATAACCAGGCTACATTTATCGAAACTAAGACCATACTATAGTATACTATGTGTAATAATTAACATTGTATATACTTTTTATTCAGATTTCCTCAGTTATTCCACTTATGTACATCCCTTTTCTCTTCCAGAATCCAGTCCAGGGTACCACATTGCATTTAGTCGTCATGTCTCCGTCATCTCCAATCTGACAGTTGCTCTTTACTTGTCATTCATGGCATTTTTTTTTTTTAGATTTTATTTATTTATTTTTTCCCCCCAAAGCCCCAGTAGATAGTTGTATGTCATAGCTACACATCCTTCTAGTTGCCATATGTGGGACGCGGCCTCAGCATGGCCAGAGAAGCGGTGCTTCGGTGCACGCCCGGGATCCGAACCCGGGCCGCCAGCAGCGGAGCGTGCGCACTTAACCGCTAAGCCACGGGGCCGGCCCTATTCATGGCCTTTTAAAAGTAGTAGTCTTGTTTCTTTTAGAATATCCCTCAGTTTGGGTTTGTCTCATGTTTTCTTAGGATT